ATCACTACTGAAACTTTCTAACTGTTTCCCTAAATTGTCTTCAACGTCATGCACGTGCAACGTCATGCATGCTCGTTTTATTAACTAGCCTTGTAAATTCTCCACATTACTTACGCGAACAGGTTTAAAAATGTGGCAGCATGTGCCACAACGACGACACAGGCTTGAGCATCCATCGGATGATCACTGGGTTACATCAATATTGATCTCCCAGCTGCCTTAGTCCTCATCCTGCAGCTATCCACGTTCTATCACTTTTTCTCACTTTCTTTAAACAAATGCGAACAAACACACATATAACCCTAACAACATATCCTAACATACATATGGGATGAGGGTATACCACATGAAGGATATCTAATAATTAAATAAATATATTTTCCTTGAATGCAGACAGTTGTTGTTCATCTGGGAGGGTGGTGACCACGAACTATGAACACACACTGGATAATATATCTATGCAATTAAAATAGGAAAAGTAAGCTATATCTATCCAATCCAAATCGGCAGTCATCTTCTCCTCCCGTCCTTCTAAGTCTGCATTTGCCGGAAAATAACAACTTCCCTCAAAATTTTCATCACAATGTCATCGTGGTTCCATATGAAAAATAAATATAAAAGATTAATTAACCTAGTAGAAACCAAGAAAACATTAAATTACCTCCTATAGAACGTTTTCATTCTACTCGCATGCAGTAGATCCTGTCTACCCAATCTATTCCTACTTATACCTAATCTGAAAATACAATACAATTAATTATACTCAACCGATATACTACCCTAACTTCCGCCCAACGTACCTCCTAGATATCAAAGCAACCCTATCTTTTTTATCAAATTTACGCTTCTCTTGCGATTGTATATTACTTATATATTCTTTATGCAAATCTATCGACGCTGCTCGTTTTATTAACTAGCCTTGTAAATTCTCCACATTACTTACGCGAACAGGTTTAAAAATGTCGCTTTCCGAATTATATTTTATATTTAACTTCGGCAAAGCATATTTATAATTATTTTCATTTAAATTATACTCTTGACGTAATTGACACGTCTTATCACTTACATCAACTTTACTTATTATTTCCGGCAAAACTGAAGAGTTTACATACTCCGATTTATTTAGCAAGAAGCTATCTAAACTTTTTGATATCGGTTTCAAAGAAGACTTTTCTTTCTTTGACCCAATATCTGTCATGGACTTAGAAGAAGAAATTTTGTTGTCAATTTCTAATTCTGACAACTTGAAATCATATTTCTTCAAAATATCTTGGTCCAAAATTAGATATTCTTCAAAATCCTCTACAACCAGCAACCTTAATTGATATTCCTTTCCATTAAATGTCAACGACACTTTGGTGGACGACTGCACATTTATTGGCGTTCCGCCCACTGTACGCAAAGGAAAACTTGGAGTATCATCAATACGCAAATGTAACTTTTCTGCAAAACAACGAGAGGTTACTGAAACCGAAGCACTAGTATCCACCAACGCCTCGCAACTTACATCATTAATAAAAACTGATATAAAAGATCCTGATATAAGAGCCCTATCTGCACTAAAACTATCAATTGTAGACAAATTTTCTAAATGTTCAGCTGCGCTTTGCTGACATCCACGTTGAGGAGATCCCGACGAAGATCCACTACTATGTGCCTGTGAATACCCTTGACTTGGCGTATCCTGCTGCACGACTGGTGCTCGTGGCACTTGATATTCCGACTGCTTAGACTCGGGTCTAATTATCGGTGCAGAGTCACCCTGTGTTTGCCAACAGTGAGAGTGCTCCATGTGACAATATACTGGCAATTCAATATTTTGTCGACTCACATCATAACCGTGATTAAATATATCATCTACTTGTATCACTGTTGTCTGTTGTCTCCACTCCTTTTTCGATAAATATAAATTACTAGCCAGCATCCATTGAATATTGGGTATCAAAGACTTCAAGAAATGTCTAATAAACTGAACATCTTGAATATTCGCTTTCGTCGCTAACTTATCTAAACTATAAAAATAACTTATCAGCGATTCATTAGGCCCCTGTCGCCTATGATAAAATTCTCGGGCGTAATCTATTTGTGAGGCAAATTCCTCTCTTAACTTCTGTGCAATTACATCATACGTCATGTATGAAGAAAAATACGTTTTATACCATTGTAGAGCTGGCCCCTCCAAATACAATGCAAACACGTATCTCTTATGCACATCAGACCAATTATTTAATACACTAATGGCCTCAAATTGATTCAAAAACTCGTCTACGTCGTTGAATCCATTAAATCTTTGTGCCGGTACACAATACATATTCTCTTCTCGTACTTTTTACTGGCATCAATTATAAATTAATATTAAATATAAAAATATAAATTACGACCTTATGTACGCTTTCCTGGAAGTTTTGTCGTAAAAACATATAAACATTTTTCCACGATGGACTTTTCTTCATCCGAATCCTTTCATCATTCGTAAGCTTGCGTCCATCATTTGCAGGCTTGAGTTATATTATATCTCTTCCATTGGCAGATTTTTCAAAATAAAAATATAAAAAATTTTCGCATCGGGATTCGTACTCCACCATTTGTAACTGGGTCGTAGCTTAGGATGCGTAGCGAGAGGTACTTTTATAAATTTAAACTGGAATAATCTTCAAAACTTGGTTTATTGTAGTTTTTCACATAATTTCAGCGTTGCGTTACATTTCGTAATATATCAAGATGTTCTTTTATTTCATTTTTCAAAACACATTCTAATTACAAAACTATATTCATTCAGCCAGTGATTCGAGTTGAGCTTAGACTACAGTACTCTAAAGGTCGTATTCTAGAACTCTATTCAATGCTCAAGTCAGGATTGCACTGGCAACACACGCACTGGAAATACGATCCTAATGGCAGGAACTTGAGTATGATATCAAGTGCTTTAAACCATACTCAAATCCTGACTTGAGCAGTGAGTAGAGTTCTAGAATACGACCCTGAGGTATTTTAGAACTCTACTCAATGCTTATGGTTTAAAGCATTCAAAATCATACTCAAGTCCCTGCCATTAGGGTCGTATTTCCAGGGCTTGTGTTTCCAGTGTAATCCTAACTTGAGCATTGAGTAGAGTTCTAGAATACGACCCTAAGAGTAAGTTGGCATACCGATATCTTATTATGTTCACTCGCTTGTAATTGTAAAATTAAAGCTGTTTCCACCGGTTTTCCATTTTCATAGTATTAAATTTTAATGAAAGCCATCGACTGCGGGCATTGTTACAAACACCACCCGTCCGCCGTTGTAATTTACATTGCCGGCTATCGCATTAACGATGACTGAGCGGTTTCTCTTAATTATCATTTTGCACGGTTCGTCAGACACACGCTGCCCTATTTGAAATGCGCCACCTATATTATGTGTGACCCTTTTGGGATAATCCACACGTATTCATAAAATGTATGAAAAACATGTCGCGTTAATTGAAGATTTTATGTCTCAGATAGGAATTTTCACTTGTCATGCAACATTGCAAAACTCATTTATACAAACCTAGCTCTCGATGTAAGACGAATTTAGACAGCGTGTAGCTATAGTGTCCAAACTTTAAAAAAAAATTCCAACGTGCATCATCATCATACACAGCCTAACTTTACCTACTATTAAAAAGGCCTAACGTAGTAGTCTCGTTGATTGAATTAATTTAAAGAAGGGTGAAAAAAGTCAACTGCATTATATATAAATTAGTGTTCCATCTGCTTAATATTTAGCTATTGGACATAGTGAGAAATTATGTAGACGGTTTAAATTATTTCATCTGAGCTGGACCCTCGGCTGCTGCAGACCCTTGCCCTGTCCGCACCCCACACCGTCTCCCACCAAGTTGGGTCCTCCAGTTTAATTGTTTATTCAGATACGACGAACTTCTCGAATTAGGTAAGCCGGAATCGCCGCATTAATTAATATTTGTGTTGAACTGTCTCCGTGCCCTTGAGTGATTAAGCGACCTTTCAAATAACAGTTAGTTGTAGACAATTTCCACTGTTTGCATTACAATTTATAGTAAGACCATTGCGCTCCCGTTATTTGATTTGATTATACTATAAATATTCATGGATTGGAAATATCAGAATGGGTTGAGGAAATCCCTAAAATGATTTTGCAATCGCAGCGTACTATCGTCGTGAATGCTCACACGCCTACCCTTATAGTAATTTTTCGATTATCCTTTCAACAATAGAAATAAGAGATATTATTGGATATATCGTAATTCGATATTATGAACCCGCTAAACAAGCGAAACGAATCGTAAATAATACACGTGAATTAACGAGATATACCCTCTTGTATTTTGCGTTGACATAGAGAGTATAGAAACAGGGAATGAACGACACAGCTGTGTTATTAGAGTTTGGGTATTCAAATGTTTTGGTGCGTAGCCCGTGGGCTTCACTATAGTACTTATTCGGTAGAAACTTGGCGACATCTGTGTGCATGCAAGAGTAGAACTAATAACAGAGCCGTAACTTGTAGCAACCTGTAATGAAAGCGGGTAGATACGGAATCAGAGCACGAGTAAACATCTCCGCTTGAGCTCGGTACAAACAACTTGTATTCTACCGCATACATACTTTCATAAATATATACATTTGTAACTACCATGTAGGTATAGAAATCCCAATAATCCAAGACTGCAACAAAGTAGTTAACTAAGAAGATCCAGTTGGAAAAAGTTGCATCACAACGCCCTCACAAGTTCAAAGAAACTTAATAAAAGAGGATCTTTACATATTGTCGTCGCATCACATAGTGCTGCTATTTATAAAAGTTTCTCTGTGAGAGCAAAATTTTGTGTAACAGCAATTCTATTGAATTCCAATCGACAACCCGCATTGGTCACACACAATATAATTTGTAAAGAGTTCTTCCGTCCAAGCGAAGAGAATGTTAATAGCTCGTGAAAGCCAGATAAGGAGGTTCCCTAATCAAATATTCCGGAATCCTTCTTAAGAAAGAGCTGGGCCCAACGAGCGGCCGTGCATAAGCAACAATATCGGTTCCTTTAAAGGATAAAGCCGACTAAAGGACGATTCGTAATCCGCTCCAAAGCGATCCCCGACCTACTGTCCGCCAGGTAGGTACAAAACTTTCTGCAGGGTCCATCTACTCGCGTATTTACAAAATACTCGTCATAATTGACCCGAAATTATTTATAAGGTCGGATTTGATTTTCAAATACACATATTTCATTGTACTTACATTTCTTCTATAGCATCCGTTTTAGCATTTACTTGCGCTTTGTTTGTTGCACTGCAACCCTTTGTTCTATAAAAATCTTTCATAAAATTCGATAAAACTTTCATGATTATCGGTTTTTCCATGGCAGGCATGTATTCTGTTGAATTTGCTCATTTAAAATAAAGTTTATCAAGTCATGCGTTCAACCTTACCACCCCAACGCGTACTGTTACTCTGAACGATTTACATAAAATGTAAAAAAAAATACCTACGTATACACGTTGTTTTTATTTGATGTGACAAGATGTTGCCTACCATATAAAATTGTACAAAATAAGAATGCAGATATGTACCATACGCTTTACAATTTTAAAGCGTGCTTCTACCTTTAAAAAAATTATACAAACACCGTTCGAAAGTCTTGTCCGTTCGGGGTCCCAAATTCTTCGCACAATACGTCATTCTTATCATTGTTGTAGGACATAATATGCGGCATTACCATTTTCGTACCTCGGTTCACGTCATTGATGACGATTTATTGTTATAACCAAAACTATGTAGAACTGGGAAAGACCGTATAAGAGTTATTTGTGAAATATCTTATGTGAAGAGAACTTTTCACACTAACATTTTTTTCCTGGTTATGTTGTTCCAACTTATTAAAAATAACATTTATTTTGCATATTATAAATTTCGTACTTTGTTTTTTAATATATTCAATTTTATATGTATATTTAAAAAGTCGTTCGTGTTATCAGTAAAATTGATGTATGACCATCTTGTGGATGATTTTTCAGCCACACGCAGCTTGCTTGTTCTTGTCAACTAATAGTGTAAGTTTCATTCAAAGACAGATGAGACAAATTTAACTCCCACTTGTTTTTGTAAAAATTAATTTGTAATACGAAGTCCTATTAAAATATGAACTTTACCTTTCGCCTCTCACCAAGACTGACTCTATGTGGTATAATTAATCCCGCATTTTTTATCTCCGCGATGATTTACGTTTGTTGTGAAGTTTGTTTTGCAGAGACATCTGCCGACGTACCATTGTTAGTCGGGCTGTCCTCAGGTAAACCAGATAATGGGAATTATCTCAGAAAGAGTTGACATTTGTCCTTTCAAACTTTTGTACAGTCGAGTGTTTTGACAACCCTTATTTATTTAAGAGATAGGCTTTTTTAAAAGGTTCATCAAAGTTGTTAAAGAACTTTTTGAAATTAGTAATCCGAAGTGAAGTTTTTTTTATGATACCTAGTGGCAGAAGAACAAGTCGCACGGTTGGTGGTAAGCTGCATACTTCTCTATAGCAATTGCAGTAACTCAGAGCTTTAAATCGCAAAGATCTGAGGGGCAGTGCCATCGCGCCCGTCATCTTGAGACATAAGTTTCGGTCAGTAGCATTGGGTCAATGGCCAGTAGTGAATATTTCTAATAATTCATTTTTTTAAGACAAATTAAATGTATCATCTTGTCTTATCATCAGATATTGTAATCAAACATCATAAACCTTTTAAGTAAAAATAGATGAGGTAATGTCAAATCTACTAAAACAAAGCTAACAACCCCAGTTCCAGTCACGCAGTCCATCGCTCTTACACGGACGCGTTCATTTATGAGGTAAACAAAGAATTTATTGACGTCGTATAATTTTATGTTCTAAACAAAGGCTCGTCAGGCGCCCCCTTCGCGCCCCATGCACCACCCCTCTCCCACCCGCACCCGCTGGGCTGCACTTGTTCACCAACATATGTCTACAAGTGTATTTGTTTATGCTTCCCATGTTTAGAATAATATACCTTTCGTTCATCAAATAAATCAGGACGTCGATATGGAGGTTCAACAAAGGGTACCAATTTTTACATTTCTATCTTTAAATAATACATATTAAGAGAAAACAATTAAGTTATTCACTTTCTATTTATTTTCTGATCTTGGCGGGCCCTGCGTTTGTACATTGGTGCTAGACAACAAGGTTTCGGGTTGAGTAGGACATACTTTTCTAAATTGAATCTGGTCTGGGGGTTGAATGCCCTAGTTTGAGATCAGGTAATTTTTAATATTTTTATTCAGCCCTTTCAAGCATCGAGACGTTGCGCAACAAAAATAGAAAGTGGTAAGTAGGTCGTTCGATAAATAAAGTCAAATGAAATGCACGAGTCGTATATAAATTGAATATTGGTAAACACAATAAAGCCATGAGAGCACAATTTTTCAATGTTACAGCACAAAGCGGTGTTAAAATCAATTGGTCAAAGTCATTTCGTGCATTCATCTGCCGGTGTGCGCGTGGAGACGTCTTTTGAGCTCCATTGTCGCGTCGGACTCCCACTGTGATGTCGCCGACGTCGCTCCGCCCGTCAAACCCGAAAATCGGTTCCCAGAAAAGAATTACCTATTGCCGTTAACGTTTGCAGATTATCTCACGAGCGTAGAGGCTACGGAGAAGTAGTAAGTACCGTTTAGGTCAACGGTGCCAACATCTTAAAGTCATAAAACTAGATTGCAGATGTCCTAAGGAAAGTAGAACGCGAGATCCAATCCGAGTTTGCAAACAAGGGAAGTTACAGCGGTGGCGCGTTGCGGGCGCTGCGTTGCCGCCGCCGTTGCCACCGCCGCGCCGGCGCGCCTCCGCCCGTGTCGCACGCCGCGACTCGGCAAATAAGTACGGCCCACGCCGATAAGACGCCGTCTCCTGTGACTTCTATTTAAACAGACAGGAAAACGCTCACAGATTAAATCTTTCGTTTGTTTATTTTTCTTCCCGACTTTCTGCGACTAAAGTATATTTGAGACTACGATGACAAGTCGACTTATCTCTATCGGCGCTAATCTAAACGCAGGATGAGTTTTTAAAAAGGTTCAGTTCGCTTCCTCTTTCCCCGGCAAAGTGCGGAGGTCGGATTATGAGAGCTTTCAACTGCGCCGCGACACGGTTATTAAGGTAGATGCTTTGTTTGCGCATTCGACGATTCAACGCAAAGCTGCTGCCGGTAAAATATTAAAATGCGAAACCGTTGCTCAACTTCATACCAACAGCAAATGCATCTATCGTTGAGACTTCAACAAACGCTAATCTTATTTAAAACTTTTTTGTTTCCTACACAAGACCTAATTTAATTATGTGTTCAAGACCTTAATAGCCAAATTGACTGACAAATATAAGTCCAATAACAGGATAAGGACCCTTCATGCCATTGAAAAATGTAGGTTTTATATTTCATAATGTAATCAGTAATTATTGCCTTAACGAGTCTGGCTTTAATTTGTTAGGCGTTTTAAACGGCTTTACGCATTTGAATCGCAAATTTCTTAGAATATTTCAAGAGGGCCGCTGACGTTTCGAGGACATTATCTCTTCATAAAATTCAAGATCCCGCCGAGTGGTACATTTCTAATTGAAGGTTAACATGCCGAAATTTGGGGACTAGTTTCAAATGATAATTAGATACAGCCTTATTAGGTTCGTCATGTTCTAAAAGTCGTAATTTTAAACGATGGCTCTGTCTACAAGACCATAATCGCTTTATAAAAAAGCATTAAAAAGATGTTTTAATTAGTGGCATATTAATTTATTAGTTGAGACTAAAATTTTAGATCACTTACACACGTGTGACTACAGCCAGCAATATATTATTACATGGATTAACTAACAAAACCTAGATATGTTGCACCTCAGCATAATTAATATCTGTAGCCTCTACGAGGGCAGAGGTTAGCTTCCTCGTGTAGCCCAGAGGATAATATTCATGTGAAATACTGCTAGTTTATCCTAAAAATATTGTACGCTATAAGTTATCATCATCATCAACCCATTTATACGTCCCACTGCTGGGCTCGAGTTCCTCTCAGGCGCGAATTTTTAGCCATAGTCCACCACGCTGGCCCAATACGGATTGGGGACTTCACTCGTTTTCGGAGGGTTATGAACCTTTCTTTGTCATGCGGGTTTCTTCACGATGTTTTCCTTCACCGAGAAGCTCATTGTAAATTTCAAATTAAATTTAGCACATAAATTCCGAAAAACTTAGAAATGCACCGGATAAGAACCGGCGGCCTCTGCTTGAGAGGCGGTAGGTCAAGACTACTGACTAAGTATCAAGGTTCTTAATATTTCTAGTAATCGACCAATAAACATAATATAAGGGTGCGTACCGATCTGACGAATGGACCTCTAACGCGCTGCGTGTGCGCTGCACGCGCACTGCACGCGTGCTGCATGCGTGCAGTTACTAAATACATACATGTTAATATTTGTGGCGCGCGAGCGGCACGCAAACCGATTGCACAACGTAATGCTCGTGTGCTCGCCAGCCTTTCGCAAACAAGTGTATTTGCGGCGCATTCGCCAGATCTGAACGCACCCTAATGTGTCTCAGAGTGAATTTCATTGCTCTGGTACTCTTAGTACAGGGAATTCCTTAGTTTAGAAGCTTCAAATCATGAGACAGTTGGCAAACTAAAGATGTCAGCATTTCCCGCGGCGCAGGAAGCACAATTGAGCCATCACAGGCGGCATTCAATTACACATCCTGCAGCCACCTTTGACGCAGTCTACTTGTCAGTTTGTGTACTTTCACCATTGCATAATGCTACTTACCTACATTAAGATTAAATCATGTAATACCTATCGAGATATAAGTTGACAGACGGAAGGAAGTCTAATTGAATAAGTTTTATCGAGATCACATCAGGCTTGACACCTAAACTTAATAATTAAGATTTAAATTCAACTATACGTCCCTCTCAATAAGAATGCTCCAGAATTCAAAGTGTTAATTTGCTCTTAAGTTAGTGCGGTTTTATTATATCCTCTATTGTGTAAACTCCACGTATGTGGGTCTTCTCCATCCCTGTTTCGTGCTAGCCATTGAGGTACGCATTCATATAGTCGCACTATCATTTTCAGGGTGTTCCGTTACATCTGCATCCTCAGGCCGAGTTCAAGGTTGAGAATCTGATTAAATTTAAACGCACACACGCCCACTCTCATAGCCCCGCATTAAGGAAACCCTGTATAGAGGGTTCCATGAGCACACCCGTAGACAACCACAAATTACACCCAAACTGACTAGATAAATAAATGTAGGTAATTTCTTCCAGCCCGGGAATCGAACCATGGTAACCGTTCGGCCACGGAGGCAGTTAAGTATGAGAAGTTAGAAGCAGCTAAATAGGAGAAGTAATTATGAGAAGAGAAAGCTACAAATACAAGAATATAATAGAGTTCACTATATTAAGGAAGTGAATGGTAAAGGACACACCTCGTACGCATCAGCACGGTACTCGCAACCCTTTATTTTACCCCGAAGGCGTGCCCGTCGAAACAAACAAACGCAAGCGAAATTGAGAGGAGTGCCCGGAATCGGCAGTATACCTTTTCATTACAGAATCCCTTTTTAATTACCACGACTCAAATAAAAACGGTTATTTTTTTATTTCAAGTAGCCGTAATTGAAAAGGAAATTGCCGGGTCCGCCGACCGCACGTCGGCGTCGAATAAAACTTTAATATAATGCATAAGGCCCTTTGATCTGCGCACTCCGCTTGCATTAAATCGCAGAAATAGGATATACTCTACAAGAGAAGAAATAAACACACAGAAATAACACGGGTAATATATAACAGATGTTCTCGTTCATGAGAATACTTGCAATGTGAATCCCCTGTTATAACAACTGCTAATGTCGACAACTATAAGCTAAGGAACTATATAATTGACGATAAAAGAATAGAAGAAAAATAAGACTGTCAAAACACGACAAAAAATAAAATTGTTCGTTTACGAGTCAAAAGGCTCTTTACTTTACAAAACCTCAAACCTAAGAAGTTCCATAAATTACATGTGAAATAATAAAAGGAAGGAAATCTTTCATCCGCAAACGTTTTACAAAGAGACACCCCTGCGCTGGGAGATAAATGTCGCCTGTAGCACGATCCACTGTCGGTAAAAACGTGGCTCTAATAAAAATCCACCTCGATGCCACCTCCCCAGCGATATAAAATGCATACTTGCTCCGACAAAGAGTATCAACTCCATATACTCGACGAAAATTTTATACAATATTTTAATTACGAAAATTGTCTGAGAAATCTGTGTTCTTACTTTATCCTCCCTACACAAAGAGAAGATAATAGAATACGAAAGAAGGCAAGATTACAAAAAATCAACAATACATTCACCTTTGCCCGCCAGGCGAATAAGGGAAACAGTGGATCGGTAAAGGTAAGACATACGGTCAAAGGGAAGATAATAAAGCGTTGTATTTTCATTCTAATCCGCAACGGAGCCGGGCCGAGTCGGGAGATACGGGGGGAGCAGGCTCGATATCTAAAATTACAAGCCTTCACAGTGCCTATCTCGAGGCACACCGTTCTCCATTCCTTTATGTTCAGCTGCCACTTTCAGACATACTTCCATTCAAACTATTCCCCAGACGCTTACTTTATGCGTAACGATAGATTCGAATAAATGAGGAGGGTTTTAAGGCGTATTATTTTTAAATCGCAGATGTATATTGAGAGTATTGTTTGTCATTTAATAAATTATAAATAATTTTTCAGATTTAGCGGACAAAAATAAAATTTATGAAGCAACCTTTATTTATTAGCCAATCAAATTTCCAGGTTTACTGCCAGTTTTATAATTTGTGGACACAATTGTTTTACAATAAAGTAATAATTTTTTATTAGAAGCTTCAATTAAAACCATCCGAACTCTTATAGCAGAAGAGTCATCTTTGTTTACAAATTATAATTACTTAATGACGACTAATAGATTGCAGTGTGTATGCTCATCGAAGCATGCGTTTGTGGTCACGTACTTCAGCGACATAAGGCAAAGAATACAACTTTCTTAACATTCTGTACTTAAACAGCTGACGTTTGGCTACATGTTTTTTGTTACTTCCACTACCAAGTTATCATCTGTACTAAGAATTATGTGTTCAAAAGGATTTTTTCTGTATTCCAGTAATTTATTTACATAATTAGCTTAAGCATTATGGTTTATTTGTACTGCTTATTTGTTTAAATTACACACTGAACGCACACTGAATGTGACGTTTGTAGATGAAATTAATATCCAGTTTTAAAATAACAATGAATACCACTCATTATTCAACTTACTGTGTGTTGCGTTTCGTCGAAATTCAATGACCGTTGAAGTGGCCCTCACTATTAAATTCCTTTTATGATAAAACACATTTTAGTAGCAGAAGAGCTCCTTGTGAAAGAGTTCGTTCAGGGAATTACTGCCACCTTTCCTGTCCAGACGGTAATGCTCGCATTACTGCGTTCCAATTTTGAAGGCTAAGGGTGCTGGTGAAGTTGCAGGCACATGGGACTTGCCAACAGAAGTCTCAGGGCGACAGGCGCGACAGAGAGACAGATCTTCGCGATTTAAAACTCTAAGTGACCCTGCAACTGCTATGGAAAGACGTGAGAGGACGACTTGTCCGTCCCGTCACTTGATATTACAAAAAAAATTCGTTTAGTCAAAATCAAAGTCAAAATTTATTTGCATGTCACAGTTAAAGCATACAAAATACAATTTAAGTTAGTAGATTATTGTAAAGTATCACGTGACGCCCTGCATGCAAAATTCAGAGGGATTTTTTATGATAGATTAATAAATTTAACATATTTCAAACAATTCCAATACGTGTATTAAATTCATTCAAAATAATAATTTTTATAAAATTTATATACATGGTAGAGGTAAGTACTT